AAAAAAAAAAATTCTTGCGGCTCGAAAATTCCCCTCCCCCACATAACTTTTCTAATGGTCCGTCCCTAAATAACTATTAAAGGTTACAAGACAAAATTTTTTGGTGAAGAGGGTGTTTTTTGGCACAGTTGATGACAACTGCCTTTAAAAACCTATCGACATTGTGTTTTTATAGACAGAGCGCCAATTCAAGGCTTCCACCAACATAATTTACTTTTGCACAGCGGAAAAGGTTTAAAATAAATGTAAAATGAAATTTCTCTCTAACATTTGTTTTTCACATCGTGATCAGTATATTGTTTTTTCCTTGCTTTATTCAGTAAATAACTTCGCGTACTCTGTTTAGTATGTAGCTGGAGCTTTTTTTTTGTTACCTATTTTCGTTTACATGAAATATTATATAAACTTTTTATTATTAAACAGTCAAAGAGTTTGCCCATTAGTGTCCGGTGAGAAGCTTGCGCAGCAAGCGTTTCCGTTTTGTTTCGGAGCAAAGCTGGGACCGAGGAAGGGTTTTCGCGCGGTCTTTGACTCTCGTTCCTCTTTGCTTGCTCCGGCCGAAACCACACGGAAACGCTTGCTAGGCAGGCTATCAGGTGAGCATAGGCAAATCTAGTAACTGCTGAAGTACCTATAAATATCGAATGATTTTCATGAAGTAGTGTCATTTCATTGATCAAGATTTGTCAGAGGTAGGAGGCGAGAGGTAGTCAAAGCTTGTTTCAGTATAACTCTAAAATTCACTTCCATCGAGATGTTAAGGAAAGCCGAATACAAAACCTTGTTCGGTCGTCGTAACCGTTGATGAACCGTCGCAATTCGTAGCCGAGGTAGTAAATTTGCACTTTTGTCGCAATTTTCGGTAATACCTATCGCCATTTGTAAGAACTATCTCCCCAAGAGTCCATGCGGACTACTTTCCACTGCCGCATTTTAGCATAAATTGAAGGTGCATTTTTTTAATCAGCTAAGGTCGCGGGTTATTTGTTAGAACTAACCGACCAGACTGGTTTAGTTGTAAAGAGAATTTCAGTCCAATTAAGAACGACTATCCAGACAGATCAGAGCTATTTATACACGTTAAGATCGGCAGTGTTGGAATTAAGAAAAATCTTGAAAAAAAAAAAAACTGTTACTTTATTTTCAAAGGGACTGATCTGGTCCATCAGTTCTGACTTTTTGAAAGCGTACCTAGAACCAACTCTTGCTCACGTGACTAACAGGTCACATCGGGCGCTTTCCATTCAGTCCAAAATTCCGGAAATTTCGGATAGAAATCAAATGGAACATACCATTTCGGTTCGGTCCGACCGCAATATTTGGGACTGCCTTTGAAGGTGGTCCGCTTTGACCGGTGCACTTATTTCGGTCGGTCGAACCGAAGTGTGCCAGTTTCCATTCAAAAAAGTTGTTGTCTCCAGCGCCACTTTTTTTCAAGAACAATAACCAAACGCGCGGTGGCTTGGGTCTTGTCGGTGTAACCGGAATGTAGAATTCCATTGGGCATGTGAAATTTCTAACATTTCAAACCGGAATTTATGTCCAATGGAAAGCGCTCATCCTTTGAATTACTGCGGTTAAGTTTGCGCCGTTGACACGCGACAATCCTCATTTTCCTACCAACTGTGTTGCGACAGCTCGGTTAATTACCTACTGCGAAAAACACTTCAGAAATTACCAAATTTATGACAAAGAAAAACAATGAAAAGGCCTTTAGTCTAGTAACAGGCATCTTGAATAACTGAGAACCCCCTGATGTTTTGGCAAAGAGGATGTTTTTCTTTTTAATGCACCGCAGTTTAACCAGTCTGCTTTCGCTGTTACAGTGTCGGAGAGTCTCCCCACTGGTTCAAGATTTCTAAACATTACCGCAACAGATGCCGATATTGGTAACAATGCTCTGCTAACGTTTTCTATTATGAGTGGCAATATTGGAAATGTAATGGCGATAGATCCGTTAACGGGAGCGCTTTATAGTGTGGGTAAGTGATGTGCGGTCAAATGACTGCACTAGGTATGAAGTATACGCGGTCGCAATGAATATTAACTAGGATGAAAAACAAAAATAGCAGCTAGTATTCTTGCATTGTAAAGGAGCAAAAGTGCAAGATACTTTCTATAGTTACAGAGAAGACTCTGCAGAGGACTTTGATTTCCAATCACAGAAACTGATGAAATACTTCATGAGTCAAGAAAGCATTATTCTTTCAATTACTGAGGAAGGATTAGCTCAGTCAGTAGAGCACCTGATGAGTGCAGAGCGGGAGGTCGCGGATTCGATTCCCGGGGCCGGACAAATACTCAAGGTCTTAAAATAACTAAGAAATGAGGGTACTTTCTTTGCCCTGCGAAGGGCTAGAACTTCGCGTGGCTCGGATGACTCCGTAAAATGGTTGTCCCGTCTTCAGAAGGAAACGTAAAATAGTGACCTCAATAAGTACTTTCGTGCTCAATATTTTGACACCCATTAAAAGTACTTACATTTATCATTTCCGCAGCTGTCTCAGAAAAACGAGGAATCATACTACCTCTAAACTGTTTTGACTACAACTTTATAAATGTTTGAGTTAAATGTCAAATTGTAATTCCCTGTTACAGGATTTCTTGATCGCGAAACCACGCCCGAATACTTTCTGATGGTGAAGGCTGAAGATGCTGGAACGCCCGTTCGAGCCTCGTCAACAAACGTCCACGTCAAAATTGCAGACACCAACGACAACGTGCCGGAATTTAGTGACGCGGATCATAATTTTGTCGTCACGGAAAACCTGCCCGGGGGTACATCGGTTGGTAAAGTTCAGGCCACGGACAATGACAATGGTACAAACGCGGAACTGGTGTATTCAATCATGTCTGGCGAGAACAGCAATCATTTCTTCATACATCCACTTCAAGGGATCTTGTACACAGCTGTGATGTTAGATAGGGAATCTGTGAAGGATTACAGGATCAAAGTTAAAGTTTCAGACTCTGCTGCCTTTTCGTTGGATCTTTCAAATATCACAACTGTTTATATAACAGTTTTGGATCGGAACGACAATAGCCCCAGGTTTGTGACAAACTGAATAGGCTGTCTTTTAAGGTTCGGTGAATCAAGCAAAAAAAAAATTGCAAAACTAATTTATTTTTCTTTCTTATTCATTTGGAATTGAAACGATAAATACGTTCATACACTCCCGCAGTTCACCCGAAAACCATACCCGATTCCAGACCAAAATGGGCAAAGTGTATACCCGTTTTCAGACGAAAACGACGCAAAAACCCTACCCCATGGGGCGGCACATTCCTATATAGCTTGTCTAGGGGATTACTGCGGCAGGATTAGCTCAGTCAGTAGAGCATAGCGTGTGTTACCACCAACGTCAAACCTGTCTCGCAACAAATTAGGTCGTTATAGGCTACATGCGAAAAGTTGTTGAAGAAAGTAGAAAGTAACACGTAACATCGCTTTTCAACACGTTTTGCAGCAATGTTGCAAAACAAGTTGCACGTTTTTGTTGCCCGTTTAACAGTAGCTTTAAGATACTCAGTTCCACATTTTGTTTTTCATTTAACTATCCTAAGACGGGACCTTTCTCTTTCTCACCTAGGTTTGCCCTTCCATTTTACAACGCTTCCGTTCGGGAAAAGACCGTATCCGGGACTTCTGTTACCACGGTAACCGCTGACGACCCGGATCGAGATGCGAATGCGGAGTTGACGTACAGCATTACCCATAGTTCCTCGACTGAGTACTTTGACATCAACAGTGTTACAGGAGAGGTGTCTGTAAAGAATGTGTTTGATTATGAGGAGGTTAAAATTGTTAATGTCACCATAACGGCACAGGACAACGGCATTCCCAGGCTGAGTGGATCGGTGACACTGGTTTTGTTTATCGAAGATGTAAACGACAATACTCCGGTTTTTGAAAGAGGTTAGTTTTATCACTTTAGTACCAAACATAATTATAATCTTCATCAAATTCAAATAATCATTCTCGTAGACTTTGTCACAAACATGACCATAATCATAAACATTCTCATTTATTATTTATTAATTATTATAAGGTCTTATAACCCTAGGTTAGGTCCAAATCATGTTCTGAAAGTTCAGTCGATTATTTCTTCCGAGTCGCTTGTATCACTGAATTAAAAAAGAATTCTTCTCCTTAACAATATCATGGCCAGTCAAAAATATAATCAGTTTATCATGGCAATTACCGTAACTGACCTAATAAATGCCCGGGGAGTGTATTTAATTTTAGGCGTCCAAGCGGGGGCGTTTAATAGCTAGGAGGCGTTTATTCTCATAACTGTAACGAGCTCAACAAAACTAATATGCTTTAGGCGAAAATATCAAGAGAGTTTAGAAACTGTGGAATATTCAATCCATCAATAGATACATCTAGAACGTCTAGATATCCATATCGCTCTTTCAGATCCCAACATCGATGTCAGAATCTTGAACAAGATGAAATACGCAAAGCCTCGTTAATCAAGCAAGAAATTGAATTAATCGAATGATTTTGCTCCTTTTGCTAATTCCTAGTATTTTGGTGAAGTTCTCATAGGGGGCGTCTATTTGACGGGGGGAGTTCATTAGAGAAGGGCGTGTAACACAATTTTAAGAGCGTAGAAGGGGCGTGTATTAAATAAGAGACGTTTATTTGTAAGTGGGCGTTTATTAGGTCATTTACGGTATTAATAAAGAACTGGAAAAAAAAACCTTTTAGTTGCAAAGTTTGAGAGTCGTGTAGAGAAAAAAGGCGTCATCAAAACTGGCCAAATGTGTTGCCTTACGGTTTTATTTTTGCAGACTTCTACGAGGCCAGCATTCGCAATGATCGCTCTTTGGACTCCCCGCCATTCATCATAGTAAAAGCAACAGACAAGGACTCAGGTGATAATGGTAAAGTGGATTATGAGCTTCAGGATTCATCTAATTTCTTTACCGTGGGTAGTACTGATGGTGGAATTCGCCTCAAAGCTACTCAACCCAATGGTAGGTTCTTCTCTCTCCTCTTACGAAGTATTTCGAAGACTTCCGAACATTGCCGAAGTTCTTATCTGTTCAATGAACTCAGTATAGTCCATCGTTTTCTTTACGTACCTTAAGTTTCTTTACAATTTATTCATCCCGTGGTGTCATTGAAAACGGAAGTTGACGCCAAGTATTTCGAACACTTTCGATGTTTCCCGAAGTTGCCTTTCGACAGCAGCTTCCGAACATTACCGAGTACTAACAACGACAGGAATTCTGAGTAAGTGTAGAGTAAATGTTTGTTGGATTCTTAAAGTGGACCTCCCAATTATCTCTTCTCTTGTACAAAATGTTTACCTCCCTTTTTACACTTTTAAACTTTCTATATGGTGTTCTAAAGGCCTCTCCGATCCAGCTTAAGAGAGGAAGTCGTTAAACAGTGTACCTCCCTCCCTCCCTCCTCTTCCCCCTCACCTTTATCACCCTGCCTCCTGGCAAACAATTTATACATTTTCTTTTTACTTGATTAATTCTCCATTCAGAAAACCAACTGTGTCTTATACATACATACATACATGACTTTATTTTACCTCGAATCTACGGAGTAGCTCAAAAGCTAATTATATGTTCACGCGGGAAAAGAAAAAAAAAATGTTAGGTAATAAAATTACATTACTATTACATAATGATAAAATAACATTACTAAGTACTAGAGCACTAGAGAATTGTTTGTAATTAATTTTTTCGTTTAATTTGCTTGTGTTGACCTTGGAACAGGAAAAACGTATGAGCTAGGCGTGCCCGCTAAAGACAAAGGTTCACCACCGCAGTTTGAGGAGGAGCTTTCAAGATACTTAGGTGCTGATGTTAGTATAGCAGATTACACGGTCCTTGGGGGGGCAGAAGCGCGGAGGAGGAAGAGGGAGACTAAAAAACGGTAAGAAAGGTAACTAATGGAGAGGAGAAGTGTGACGTCACGTTACCATGGTAGCACTATTTCTGGATGACAACAGAACCAACGACGACGGCGATGGCAAGGAGAGCGGCAAAATAATGTGTTTATAACTGACAATAACGTTGCACGTGCATCACGCTATTTTGTGCATTTCTTTGGCGTCGCACTCTGGCATGAAACTGCCTAATTTCTCGAGCCCGCTTTATGGAGCAGGAGAACACAACAGAAAAATTGTCGACTTCTTTTTCTAAACTTAGATAACGATAGATACGGTCCCGAGGAAAATTGTCCCAAGATTTGCCAAATTGAATGAAATTGAATGAGATCGGTGAAGTTTGAAACAGTGCGAGTAGAATTTTACCAAGAAGCCTAAAAGTGTGACCTCCTTTAATTAGTTCACATTTTTTCATGCAGACATAAACCAATCAGAAGTCGAGGACAGTTTCTAGCTGGCTTCTGATTGGACAAAATGTGCACGAAAGAATGTGAATAAATTAAAAGCGGTCACACTTTTGGGCTCCTCGCTGTAAGTGACTTTTTCGGTTTGTTGTCTTCCAAAAATTTCGCTACCATGGCAATGTGACGTAAAGTCTTCTCCTCTCTATTAATGGGAAATTACGTTTGAATTTTTTTGCCACTCTATTAACGGTTAGAAAACAGAGGTCGAATGGAGGGCTGAACCCTCTTGTTCTTGTCAACCAACATGACCGCTGTAACATTTTCTGCAAAATCAGCCATAGTAATCCAAGACAGTCGTGGAACCGTGGATTCCAGATTCCTTTTTCCAGTCGGTGGAACTTGGATTCCGGATTCCAATTGTTAGTGGGATTCCGGATTCCTAGTGCTGAATTCCAGATTCCAATGACCAGATTCTGGATTCCACGCGAAAAAAAGTTCTCGGATTTTGAAATATGGAATTACTTCCCATAGGTTGGTGCAATTACTTAGGAGGTATCATTAGAGTATTATTTTTCTCTCAGGTTTGATAGTATTTGTTTGGTGATTGAATCAAATTATTTTATAGGACAAACAACCGACTTACTCGCTAATGATAATGATATTCTTTTCAGCATTGTGGTCACCATTTACGCGGTTAAAAATCCATCTGGTAACAACACAGATTTAAACGAAAAGTTTTCTCGAGCAAAAGAGTATGTATCTGACAAAAGATGAGATTTTAGACGCTCTCTTACACGATGACCGAAATCTTAGTCCGAACTTCACAAATAACAAAGAGTTGGAGGTATAGTCAGGTCTCTTAAGGTCAAGATCGTTACAGAGTTGACCAAAGCACCAAACTTTGCACAGCGATAGCTTATTGCATACCATGAATATTAGAGGGGATGCCCAATGCAAATATGCCACTGAAGCGTGCTAAACAGGATTTAATTATTGTAAATTTCACCTGCTGGGGTCCCTGTGGAGTTTTGATTGAAAATTGTTATTTAATACCTTAAATCACTCAGAATGCTCTTCTCATGTTGTAAACAACAATTTCACCCGAACATCTGGCATTCCCATCCATTATTAGCTTATTGATTGTATAATTAAGTTGATTATTACTGTGCCCTTTAAGCAAGTCCACAGTCCGCCCACATTTTCATAAGTCATTTCCAAGATGGCCTCGTCTTTGCTTCATAACTTGGAAGTACTCAGCTTCTGGGGTTCTCTTCTCCTTTTCTAATGTATTTCAACTAGAGGAGGCCTTACTGTGTGGCTTAAGCCTTATTTATCAAGTATTACTTGTCATTACATGTCACTTTAAGCTAAAGAAAGCGTATTGCAAAGCGATTCACACACAAAATTTCAGAAAAAAAATTGTCAAAGAGTCTGTTGTATCACATATTATCAGGGATTTATGACAGCTGTTCATGAACAGCAAATAACGAAATGACAGAACCCAAAATAGTTCTTTCCTAAGGAGGTAATTAATTTTTCAGCTTAACATAGGCCTGAATGCCTTTCAGTCTCTCTTTATCTGCTGGACGCACGTGCATGTTTTGACAGAGAAGCAAGCATCGTGGCACAAGTCATATCATTTACGATTCCCGCAGTTTGTCTAAGCTTTACAAAACAAAAACAAACAAAAAAGAATCTGGTCTCATAAACGAAAAAGGGAAACAAGTTAGCCCAAGCTTCAAAAAACAGCACAGTTTATCATGAAGCCTTTACATTTGGTACTGAAACACTCATGTCCAAAAATAATAACAGCTTATCAAGTCGTAAGAGTGAGACTCAAGTGGTACAAGATTGACTCAAATGATAAATGGTGAATGGTTTAACTGCTGAAACTGTAGAAAGAGGGCCGGGCTAATTTTTAGGGCCTGTTTACATGGAGGAGGGGGACCCCAGGTAAGCATGGTAACCCACTTAGGTGGGGTAACCGGCCTGTCCATATAATCTCTCATTTTAATTTGATCACGTTTACATGATCGGTGGGTGACCCTTCAAGGTGGGTAGCCCGGACTGCCACAGCGGGTAACCCTCTCAGCTGAGGTGAAATTTTGCCATGTCAACGTTTCATGGTGAGGTAACACAGGCCAGACGGGGTCGGATTCGTGATACATCAAATTCGCGCAAAATTCACTTTGGCGCCGGGTGGCTTCACATAATTATTAGAGGCAACAATAGAAAGCCACAACACTGAAGGTTGCAGCAAGAGCAGCAAGTGAGCGTAGACGTGGTTTGCCAGCATTTTTCTTGTTTACGTGCTTAGCTACCATTCAATAATCTTGAGAAAGTGCACCCCAGGATGGCGGGGTTGTAAGACTGCATGTGAAGGAGGGTTATTTTTTTACCCCACCTAAGCAGGTTACCTCACTTACCTGAGGTCCCCCAC